TAAACATTCTTTGAAACATTTGGGATATGCAAGTTACACAATCCAGCAAAATATATAACACTGTTCTAGTGGATTTTGGATATTTTAATAATAAAATCTTACATATTGTGCCTTTAAAGCGAAGTACTTCTTTGATACCAGAGCAAATACTACTACATTAACTAAGAAAGTTTAAACATGATTAAAGAGACAAGATAAACACTGTTCTAGTGGTTTTTGGATATTTTAATAATAAAATCTTAAATATTGTGCCTTTAAAGCAAAGTACTTCTTTGATACCAGAGCAAATACTACTACATTAACTAAGAAAGTTTAAACATGATTAAAGAGACAAGAGAACAGCCGGTAAAAATAAGAACAAATATACAAATGACAAGCATAGATAAATAAAACAGAATATGTTACAAATAAAATAAGGTTGGTAGTATTCAAATAGTGTAAATACGAGCAAATGATCAACTAATACTCTATTATGGTTACATTTTGCAATTAATCCGTGGATCACATGTGTGCCGAACCGTGGGGCTTGGCCCGTACGGATCAACTACGATCCGTTTAACCACTACTAGCGTTGTACTATTATTATAGTATTTTTGTAGTTTATTACGCAAAATTTGTATATTCATAAAATATCCAAATGCAGAGTGACAAATAAACCAGATATAGAATTTATTAACATTTATGAACACAATTGATTAATTATTATTTTTAAAAAGCCAAATATATTGTAAAATGATATTATATGCTTCTAGGTGAAGCAGATTCTAGAGGATGTGGGCTGTTGCATTGTGGGACCGACAGAGAATCTGGTGCCAGCAGATCGTGTTCTCTACGCCATCAGAGATGCCACATCGACTGTTGATAGTCATCCTCTTATCATAAGTAAGATTAACCTGAAAAACTTCTCGTTGCAGTGTTAAGCCCACTTCTCATGATTATTGTTGTCCATGTTCTGCACAGGCTCCATCATCTCTAAGAAAGGAGCTGAAGGTCTGAGTACTCTTGTGTTAGATGTGAAGTTTGGCAGAGCTGCTCTGTATAAAGATGTGGACAGCGCTCGCCGTCTTGCTCAGTCACTGGTAAGAGAGATGCTAGTGTTTGAGCACATGTAGAAGGCATGTCATGACAATAAAATGCACTGGATATCCAGACAGTGACATCTTGCATGTAGTTGTTTTGGTGTCAAGAAACGACAAGCCGTGGCCAAAGAGAAAACAAAAACATTTTGTAACTACTTTCATGGGGGAACACAAGTCATGAGTTAAGCAATGCGTTAGACTGATCAAATGTAGACATGTAAATATTTTCACCTAGGATAACCATGCAATTTATTTATTTGGTATTTTTTTTGGAAAGTTGCACCCAAAACTCACTTGAATTAAAATATGATACTTATAAGTCCATCGGGGTTGTGCAAAATTCAGAACTGAAGAATTCATGAGAATGAATTTAATTTGAATTAGACACAGCAAAATCTAAGTTGAAATGGAATGGCAGGAAGTTATTTACTGAATTGCAATGGACCCTTTTCACAGACTGATGATGTGTTTCCACAGTTATTAGTGTAAATCTAGTATTTTTTTATTTTTTTTTCATTAAAATATCTATTTTTTTTTTCATGCAAATTTTTAACACTGTACTTTGTTTATATTACCTTGGCAGTAAATTCCAGAAAAATTGTGTTAGCGCGAATGTGTTTCTAATATTTTTCTCTGTTCTGACCACCGTAATCTCTTTTTTTTGCTATTGGAGCAAATGTGAACACAAAAAATATATTTGTTGTAGTTTCCATTCACCACTACACCCAGCTATGACAATTTTCGCTTCTGAGAAAAATGTTCGGAAATGTGAAAAGGGTCCATTCAAAGAATTCAAAGAACACAGGTAGTGCATTCTGGGACATGAAGTTTATTTAAAGTTATTTAAGTAATAAAGTTAATAAATATATACACTAAATTCAAATTTCAATAGAACTTTACCTCTCTGTAGTTCCCTCTGTCCAAAGGGCCTATACATTTTCAAACTTGAGATTTATGCTATGAAGATTTAACAAGGCTTTGTTAAGCTATTATATTTCTACTTCCTTACATTCAATTTCAAATTGCAATTCTGCGTCCTGTTTGCAACCTCAAATCAAATTCGAACCCAATTCAGGATTTGAATTGGCAAGTCATTCTTAATTTAACTATCATACAATACTGGTGTCAATTTGCTGATAGATCACTGTGGGCAACAAACTGGGTGTGAAAACAGGTGCGGTGCTTAGCCGGATGGATTCTCCTATTGGCCAGAGTGTAGGCAATGCGGTCGAGGTGTGTGAAGCGCTTGAGTGTCTTAAAGGACGAGGGTCAGATGATCTCAAGGAACTGGTGACAAATTTAGGTAAGGAGAAGGACCTACTTAAACATACTACTGTAAGATGACACAACAGAACTAAATTGTGATGTTCTTCAAGACAAACTGGCTACAAATGTCTGCAATAAACAAGCATAAAAGTGTCCATTGTATTTAGGTGGGCATCTATTGTGCATGTGTGGCCACTCCTGTACTCTAGAGAGTGGGAAAAAAGAAATCGCTCTGAAACTGGAGAACGGAGAAGCCCTGAAAAGGTTTGAGGCGATGCTGATGGCTCAGGGGGTGTCTGCAGATGTTGCACATTCCCTGTGCTCAAACGAGACAGACTACTTTAAGCACATGAAGCGTGCAGCACATCAGACAGAGCTTGAGGTGCCAGATAATGGTAATTATGTTCCATGTTCACGTTTGAAAATCAAATATGTTAATTATTTTACATAACGCCAACAGCGCAGGCATGATTATAAACTGATTGCACAGAGCGCGCTATTAATATTCACTGTTATTCATCTACATGCAGTCATCACGTCCATTATCTCAGCTGCAGCTGTTGTGCGTGTATGTGTGAACTGTTTGATTGACAGGAGCCGTTTTGGACATTGACGGTTTGGCCCTGGCTGAAGTGCTGCATAAACTAGGAGCGGGACGTACTAAATCAGGAGAAGAAATCGATCATAGTGTGGGAGCTGAGATCTTGGTTAAGATAGGACAGCAGATACAGAAAGGTTAGTCTCAATTATCTCAATATATGACTGTTTGGACTGAAACCCTTATATAGTTCTTACTAAAAAAGTATAATGGCTACTAAAAAAAATAGTATGCGAAAGTGTTCAATATGCAACAATAAACACTGTGCTACAGCGATCGTATATAAAAGTCACACGACCACCACAATGCATGTTTACTTCAGCAAGTGGCTTCCAGTTGTCCTAGTAATAAAATAATGCCATTTTTAAATGTAATTAAAAATATCTATTTCTTTTTTCATTTAAATTATAATCCAATTTTGCATAAAACGTTTAGCAGTCCTATCAAATGATGAGTCAAGACTGATATTAATATTGCTTTTGGTTCATCACACTGGAAATGAGTCAAATTGCATTGTGGGATATCACCCAGTATATATATCACTCAGTGTGCTTTGACACAAATGTGAAAATGTTAAATCAGAAATAATCATTCATACTATGAGCAGTAGGTCATATTTCACGTCAAAATCAAAAATAAAATAAAACTCGTCAATCTTTTATCTGCTTCAAGTTCAATAATTACACTGGAAATAGGTCAAATTGCATTGTGGGATTTATCTCCCAACTAGGGGTGTGCGATATTGATAAAAAATATCTCTATATTTTCTGGGATTTTATCGATAACGATAATTAGATGATAGACCAACACTGATCTTTGAGCTCTGCATCTAGAAAATCTTTAAACATATTTGCTTACCCGTAGCTGAAATATTACTGTAGCCCAGGTCTGCTCAATCCTGTCCTGCAAAGCAAAAAATATGGCTGCTTTTCAATGCCTGCAGATTTCCTAGGGCAAGTCTTCAAATGGAAACTGGGAATTTAATCTAAACATGGACTTTTCTGTCCTGGTTTGAGAGGCATCAGTGCGCCACAGAATTGAGCGGTTCTGCTCTTATGTTTCCAAGATCCAGCGCAGAATCTGTTTCTTCATCAATTTCACCGATTACAGCCCTGGAACATAAACATACAAGCCTTTAAAATCCACCAACGTCTGCAGTTGTTTTACACAAAGTAGCACAAATACTAGAAGAGGCATAATACATACACATTATCGCCTCTGACAATATACAGTCCCAGAACCACCTGCTCTACTCCCTGGGAAGAGCTGAACACCCGCTCATGGCTTTCATCCAGGATGAGATTGATTGTCTGATCGAAGCCCTTTAGCGTCCCCTAAGCACAAAACAATAAAAGTCATAAGCAGGCTCCTTTATTAATGCACATAAACAATGTTTATTTTAAGGAGATGAAACACTCACCACAATCATTCTCCCATCTGAAGTGACGATGGCAACCGTCCCTTGAATAATGCTGGTTAGGGAAATATCAGGCTCATGAAGACTTACATACACAATCATATTCAATTAAATAATCAGTGTATAGACTGTAGTACACTAACAGACGTAATTAAATAGATTATGCATGCACAATAGCATAATTCTATGAAATAGATACAATTAGACACGTTACATGCATGCATTTATATATAGTATATGCGTAGTACATACTATACACACAATCCATACATATTCACTATATATGTAGTACATATATAAAATATGATACATTGCATTCATACATGCATGCATGCATGCATACTAAAAGGCGATAATGATCATGCTCATCATAACACACCAAAACACTTGATCGCGCGCCCATTGAAACACTGCCATGAAAACAACACAACGCCACCAGCTATTGATCTACAACATCATCATCAATTGCATCAAAGGATACGGTTAATGTAACTCTCAAGAGCGGTAGACATCTCTGCTGGAGCGTGTTTAAATCCACCGGTTCTTGTAGTACATACTATACACACAATCCATACATTTTCACTATATATGTAGTACATATATAAAATATGATACATTGCATTCATACATGCATGCATGCATACTAAAAGGCGATAATGATCGTGCTCATCATAACACACCAAAACACTTGATCGCGCGCCCATTGAAACACTGCCATGAAAACAACACAACGCCACCAGCTATTGATCTACAACATCATCATCAATTGCATCAAAGGATACGGTTAATGTAACTCTCAAGAGCGGTAGACATCTCTGCTGGAGCGTGTTTAAATCCACCGGTTCTTGAGCACAACTACAACGAAACACATTCGTTCTGCTGAGCCGGAAATGAGAACGGGTGAGACTCGAGTAGTCGATGACCTATCGCGGCAGTACTAGTCGAGTAGGAGCAATAGAACCTGTGGTAATGTATTTGACCAGAAGATGGCGCACTCTACAGGTTTCTAACACGGTGGTCTATATAATACGCTTTCTAACGAGGAAGCTTTGAGATTAGAATCAGTTCTTGGTGAAAAGGCAAATTGTTTCAAGGTCACAGTGGGGGCTGATGGAAATAGGCCTATTGATGGTGATGATGACGATGGAACTTACACAAAAGCATTGTGGTGGTTAATGATATCGAGATGGGATGCTACTTTGATTTATAGAATATCATATTGATGGTATTTACATGGTATTCCAAAGTATTTCAAATATTAATTTGGCATTATCAGGATAAATGTCCAAATTATGGTAATACCATTGTATATTTCCAAAAACTATGTTCTGCAAACTATGGCACTCCTTGGTACATTTATGAAGCTGGAGAAACAATTATCTAAAACAATCCATTGCACAATCATAGTGAAAGGAAATTAACCACATGATCATTTTTCACATTCTGAACTCTGTCCAAACCCCTCATTAAAACACAAAACAGCAAGCACAACACAGATGATTGTTAAAGTTAATCATTTATGTTGTTATGAGGAAGTGAACTTTCAGCCTGAGATGCCTTAGAAGGATCTCCAGGAAACCATTATGTTAACAAATGGTATATGAAACGCACATAGGCTACTTGAACCAGAGAAGAAAAAATGGATGTATAAAATAAAATCCTTCCGACAGTTTAGACTTTTACCATTCTGAATTGGACAAATAACAAGGGAAACTGATAAAGCAATACAGGTAATTAAAACCTTCACCTTTGAAAGTGACTTTCTGTGACAGTTTTGTATTGAATATATTTGTGAAAGCTCTTCAAGTTATATGATCTTCTTGTAACTTATATTTGTGTTCTCTGTTTCCACGCGGCATCTTTTAGATTTCATGTGGAGTTGTAACAGTTTGTTAAAGGCAACATGAAAGCAGACGACAAACTTCAGATCTTGAAATTCTTTCTAATGCTTGTCAATTCCTTCTTTGTGGTAAGACGAAATAACCATAGATTTGCATGTTACTGGCAAGGATTTTAGAGACATTTCTTGTTTATTACTTACAAAGAACTTCCTGGACTGCAGTCAAATATATTAATCATACAGTGGACATTGACATACAGCCTATAATATGATTAAGCATGTGCTTGATTTCTGCCAGCAGTGTGCAAAAGCATAGACTTCTGCGCCCGTCAAATAAACCAACTTAATTCATGCATGGCTACATGTACAAACAAGTAACAATTTACATGATCTTGACAGATTCTTGGCATCAGCATTTTTGCGTGTTCTGCTTGGATTTTATTTGATAAGGACAGCTTTGTTAGTGTTCTCAGCTCTGGTAAGTTTTCCTCTTGGTCATAGTCTATCATTATTCAAATTAGGAGTTACATCTTACACAATGCATGTTATTGCAATTTGCCTTGTGTTACCTATAATAATGTTTTAGGTCATGATGTTTTCTCTAAAGTATAGTATTTGCCATAGCCGATTTTTAGTGAACGTTTGTCCTTCTATCTGACTTCGGTGTGTTAGTGAAGCAAAATGTGTGGTCTCTCAGGACAGGAAGTGAAGGTGGTGGCTGGGGGGCTCTTTTTCATCGGCCTTGTTGTGGTTGTTGTGTCCTTGCTGGGTTGTGCTGGTGCCTATTTTGAGAGCAGATGTTTCATTATATTTGTAAGCATGATGCGCATAGACACTAATAACTTTTACCCTGTTTTCTGAGTTGCAATAAAAGCTTGCTGTTAACATTTCCTCTTCTCTGTTTTTTTAGTATATGTGCTTCTTAATAGTCATCATTCTGGGTCAGCTTTTCATCACCTTTGTGCTATTAATACGAAGAGAGAGGGCAAGTCTTTACATTATTTATTTATACTGTAAGGAAAACACAGCTGACTTCAACTTCACACACGAGATTCCACATTCGACTGGTTGATAAAATGATTAAACAAATGGTCTAATGCACATTTTGAATGTCACCAGATTGAGCAGTTTTTGAGGGATAATGTGGACGAGATCATTAGGCAGTATGGAGGAAATTTAACCCAAACGTCTTGGAAACTTCTAGACAGTGTGCAGACTTCTGTACGTGCCTGATTTACACTTGAATGCAAGATGACTGTATGATTAGAACTATTTTATCTGACAATCTGCTATAGGAAGGTGTGTTTTTGATATAAGTGCATTTTCTTTTTGCTGTAGGCACAATGCTGTGGTAGGCTGACCTCAAATGAATGGAGGAATAACACAGTTATTGAGTCGCTGGGGGAGACTGACATCTACCCTTGCTCCTGTTTTAACGGGACCTGCCCTGTAATTCTGGCTGGAACACACAGCTTTAGAAACGGATCAGACATCTATAAAACGGTAACATATGTTGCCTTTTTTCCATCATTACAACCTTTTTACTTATCCTCCCTGTTTTAATTTGCACACTTAAGCAGTTTATTTGGTGATAGGGCTGTGAGAAGGTTTTAGTGGACTGGCTAGAGATGAATATAATCGTAATATTTGGAATGGATGTTGGGCTTCTTTTGATTCAGGTAAGGAGAGACCAAAAAATTAAATTATTTTTCACACAATATGTAACCAATTTAAAAAATAATCTGGGTTAATTAAAAGTTAAGCATCTTGGACTTAGCTAAAAAAATTAAAAAAAAATAATAATAATTGTTGTATGTTTGTCCCTTGGAAGTGCATGTATGATACAAGTTAATCATCTTTGACTTATACAGCAAAAATAAAATAAAAAACTACAAAAATTAAATAAATAATTGTTTATGTATATCTCTACCTTGTAAGTGAATAGTGCAACTCATTTTAGTGATAGAGCTAGTATTTAACCTGAAATAAAATAAAATAAACTCAACTAAAAATATTAAAAACATAAATATTAATTGTTGTATATTCTGCCTTGGAAACACATAATGCATTTCAAGTTAAGCATCTTTCACAGCAAAAAATAAAACAAAATCAAATTAATATATATAAAAATTATATTTTTCTCTTGCAAGTGTATAATTCAATTAATTTTAGTGATTGAGTGTAACTTGCATTTAACCTGAAATAAAATAAAATATTAAATAAAATACACCTTTTTCAAATAATACAAATGGAATGCATTTTAGTGACTGAAGCTTAATTTGTATTTAACCTGTCCTGGAATATTTCTAAACTGAGATAGGATATTAAAAGTAGTATTTTAACATAAAAAAAAATCTAAATCTAAATGATTTTGGATTGTTTTGTCTCGTAATGTTCAGATTCTGCAGTTTATCTTTGGCATCCAAACCTTCAAATGCATCGGCCGCAAGACGAGGGAACTGCATCCCAATAATCTACTGAACGACACGGAGGAGAACCCAGCAGCGCAGCCTGAACACCAGCAGTACAGTATGGAAAATCAGCAGTTTGATAGTCAAACCTATGACCCTCAAATGGACAGTGGCAACTATCATCACGGTGGATATGTTGACGGGAATTATGACCAGTATAACAATCCTGAATTTTATCCAGAACAGGATAACAGTCAAATGTACAATAGCCAACATAATTTGCATTACCAACAGAGCTACAATCCTGATGATTACTGAAGCCACATTTCTTCTCTCATGTAACGTGATCAGATTGGGATGGGCTAATTTGCTGTTTTAAAAATAGCATTCTGTACAAAGAGCAAGCTGTGGTCTGTGCCTGACCAAAGACATCTAAAACCTTCTCGTAAGACCATTGTTTTGTTTCACTAAGTTCAGGTTAGTGCCTGTTCCCAGGAGTATCATCTGTCATTTTAAAGACAACCAGCATCTTTTTCTCAAACAATTCATTCCAGACCTCTAAAATCAAAGGCTTTTTAAGACAAAATATTTCCGTAGAAGTCACAGTTCAGGGTCTGATGACAGACAATTAACTATCTCTCTTTTTTTTTTGGCAGATTTCATAAGTTTCCATTTTATTTTAATGCCCCATGACAAGTTTACAGGTATTGTATGTATAACTGTAGTAGTGTAATTATATAAAAATACTGACCTGAAATTATAACCAATATAATATGAGACAATCCACACAATATAACTACCAACAATAATATTAAAACACTGTTATATGGCAAAAATATTCAAAACACTTTTTAAATAAAGAATAAAAATCTACGTTTTCTACTTGAACCATACAATTAAAAATAAACATGTTTTATATACAAAGGCTAGATTTACATTATTTGGATTATTACTAATCAATAGAGAACAAAAAAAAAACAATGTGTATAAACCATTAGTCATCCTTTGCTTTTCGTGCCACGAAGATTCCTCGCTCTCGGTTGTGATATTCGGATGATTCGAGAGGTTGTTTTGTAAATCACTGCACACTCAGACCTGCTTTATGAGTCAAGACTTGATGTTAATGACACTGGAGGCCATTTAGTGTGAGTCGGCGAGTCAAGAGTGGGCTTTGACTGAAGTTTGATGGACAACACTCTCTATAGGCCATAAAGAGCGGCGTGTCTGTCTGCATGAGAGGGCCCTTTGTTACGGTCGCTTTGTGGTTGATGATAGCCAGGCTGACATTACCGACCTCGTGTGGTTATGAGTTGGCAGTCATGCTTTACGACAACAGTTGACAGCGCACGCATTGATGGAGACAAAGAGAAAGTTACATGGAGAGGAGCTTGAGATTTCCACTGCCAGTACCTGATTCTGCTCTGGACAGAGTGATGCACAATGAGTCAATGGGGGATTTTCAGGACTGTCTGGGATGCGCTGGGACAGTGACACAAAAGTTATTCCAAAATAGCATAAAAGGGTCAACATGGTGAACATGTTCATCATAAAATAGTATAAACCCACAATGTCTCCGAACCCATTTTTCTTAATTGTGTACAATATATCTATTATTTTATAGTTTGAAACCAAATAAACTTCTTCTCGTAAAATGTTCTACTTGAAAAATGTGTAAATTGTGCTTTATTTCTTCAAAATAGCCTAAAGATAACTTGGTTTGGTATTTTGTTATATAATGCATTGGAAATCATACATTACGTGCAGCTTAATGCCGAGTTCACACTGCATGATTTTAGCCTGATTTTTCACTCGCCGACAGGTTTTGCGAAATCGCCGACAAATGCCCGAAATCGGAGGCAAATCGGTGCTCGTTCACACGAGTGACAATCACGCAGTGTGAATTATCAAAGACGCGATCTGAGGGAATCGCCGACACGTCGCCGACGCCCGCAAAATATTTGGCATGCTAAATATCTGGAGCTGTCGGCAATTCACAATCACGCAGTGTGCAATGATTTCTGACTGAAAACTACATGGGCGATGACCTACAGCCAATGAGTGACCAAGATACAGGGCAGAGGGAAGTTCAGGGAGGAGTTATAGACCAGAATATCAGTATTTTAATAGATATATGAACAATTATATCATACAGAAACAAGCACAAACATTTGCTTGACCAGCCACAACATCAGCATAACAGTTACTGCAAAATTATTTACCTCCAACTCTCTTTGCAGAACACCCAATCCCTGTTCCCTGCATCTCCCTCCTGCATAATCTGTTTTTCTTTTTCTCCTTGTAGCTGGAAATCAGCTCACAGACAATTTGCGGGCTATATATATATATTTTGTAATAATTGCAGTCTAGCTGGAGAACTCCGGTCTGACGCACGCGGGTTCTCGCATTATTTCCTTATCACTTCTCGCGTGTGTTTTGTTGTGAAACGTAGTTTGCGGACCAGACAGAGCTGTCGGCGATTCTTCCTATTGTGAAGTCATGCAGTGTGAAACCCCCTGTCGCCGATCCATCGTGCAGTGTGAACACAGCAGCAACTGAATGCTACCCCAGATAGTCACGCAGTGTGAAAACAACGGCGATCCGACAATTTTGAAAATCGTGCAGTGTGAACTCATAAGTGGCATAAGTGTTCAAACACTTTTTGGGGCTTTTGTTGTACGGAAAGAAGCCGCATGAACATTGACTAATCTATCAAATTCGAACATTGAAGAATCAATTCTAATCTACTCAGTTGGTCTTAATCTCATGACAATGCCATTTAGTTACAGTGAGCAAGAAAACAGACACCGGAATAGAATGAGCGAGAGATGCTATAGCAAGTGAGATTGAATTATGGGACATGAGTCATGTTGATGTTCTTTACTATGTGAGCTCTTTTCTCATGCTCTCTGGCTTTCCCCATGTTGTCACAAAAACAATCAGCTCTTGTTGCGCCGCTGGAGTGTGCGAGCATGTGGACAAGGCCAAACTAGTTAATAAAACGCAGACGGACCGCTGACCTGGATTACAGACCCTCTCAAGAGGGACAGAGACATTCGGTTCTTCCAGTCAGAGTGTGTTTGTGTGAGAGACACAGAGTTTGAACGTGTTAAAACCAAAGTGGATGAAACGAGAGCCGTCAGATCCTTCCCTCTTCAGAAGAACCGGATCTTGTGAGGATCTCATCTGGTTCAATATCGGTTAATAAACGAGTAGTAAACGCCAAAAATCTTGGCACTGTTGTCCCCGGCTCTAAATCAAACGTGTTTCTAGACAAGCCTGTGCTCTGTTCCAAAGATGTTTTCTGGTGCAAAATAAACCACTATCCTCATGCAATGGGGCGCTGGCACAAAAAAGCCATTTATCCTCCTCGCAGAGGCCTGCAGGACCAGCGGCGTTCCTCAAAGCCAACAAGCTGCCGCGGGCATCGCAGCAGACCAGCCAATGCGCTCATCAAAGAGCCACACTTCCTGCCGGATGAAATTCTCCCATAGTTTTTAGGATGGCATCCCGGAATAACAGACTCTCATTGATTAGTTAAGCCTGACACAAGTTGCGATTCGTCTCTTCAGCGTAATGTTTTTTTTGTGGTGAGCAGGTACAGCTTGATGAGTAAGTCTAGAAACATCTCATGCATCCCTC